TCCCTCCCCACCAAGTCTCTACTTGGTCAGCAAGACACAAGATACGAGAACACAGAAGCAGACCCTTGGCCGTGCAGTTAAGCAGCAGCCTAGGACACCCACATCCCTGTGCCTGGCTGCGGCCCCAGCGCCACCACTCCCAACCTCAGCTTCCGGTTGACGCGCACTCTGGGAGGGAGGAGATGAAGGTCCCAACACTTGACTCCCTCTCAACCACCTGGGAGACTCCCATGGAGCTCCTGGCTCCTGGCTTCGGCCTGGCCCAGCCACGGCTGGTGCACTTTGCATGTCTGTGTCTGCGACTGTTGTCTCCCTCTCTCTCTTCCAAATAAAATGAACATAAATGTCTAACGAGATAAGAGAATGTACAGGATAATCAGCGTGGTCACAGCCTCTACAGGAACACTGAATCATTCTGTGGAAGCTACGAAGACATCTCACGGCATCTATTACTCATCACGACGAGGACAACCAAGCCAGAGGAATTTTCCAGAAATAATTCCCAATGCCCAGCCTCTACCAATAGAGTATTCCCAGATCAAGGCAGCAGCCATGCCAACAATTCCTTATGCTGACAGTCCTCAGAGCTGTATTCAATGTGATGAGGTATACAAAAACACAGATTATTGTAACTGCAAAGATGCCTCTAATTAGAAAACAAAGCAGACGTGAAAATAACAGTTAAGCAACAAAATAATAAAGATTAGGTTTCGGGGCCGGTGCTATGGCACAGTGGGTTAAAGCCCAGGCCTGAGCGCTGGCATCTCATATGGATGCCAGTTCTAGTCCCAGCTACTCCTCGTTTGATCCAGTTCTTTGCTGTGGCCTAGTAAACCAGTGGAGGATGGTCCAAGTTCTTGGGGCTCTGCACCCACGTGGAAGACCTGGAAGAAGCTCCTGGCTGCTGGCTTCAGATCAGCACAGATCTGGCCGTTGCCGCCATGTGAAGAGTGAACCAGCAGATCGAAGACCTCTCTCTCTGTCTGTACCTCTCTCTCTGTAAACCTGTCTTCCAAACAAATAAAAGCAAATCTTTTAAAACAAAAAAGATAAGGTTTCCATATTAGTTACCTACTAAAAACATCCCAAAGAGCAGTGACCACTCTGCATGAGGATCATGAAGATTAAATGCTTTAGTTATTCTGACAGGTAAGGTGAGAACCTCATCACGCTTTGATTAGAATTTCGCTGAGTGGCTAAAATCCAAAACACAGGGAGCGACAAATGCTGGCAAGGATGTGGACAAAGGGGACTCTTAGACACTGCTTGTGAGGATTTAAATTAGTGCAGCCACCGTGGAAAACAGTGCAGAGACTCCTATAAAAACTGGAAACAGATGTGCCACATGATCCAACAACCCTACTAGCAGGTGTTCACCCAAAAGGCTTGAGCACAAATCAGAGAAAACTGCACCATCACGTGTATAGCAGCACTGTCCACAAAGCCAAAATCCGGAATCAGCCAAGGTACCCATGATCAGCTGAATGGATGAAGAAAATGTCAGCTATTTACACTGTGGACTATCATTCAGCTACGAAAAAGAATGAAATTCTACCATTTACAGTAAAACGGATGAAACTGGAGGACATCATGGTAAGTACATAAGTTGAACCCAGAAAGGCAAATACCACATGTTCTCCCTTATATGTGTGAGCTAAAATTTGAGAAATTTTTGTGTGTAGTAACACTGCTGCAAATATAATTCTGTAAAACTCTGCTTTGTATCTTTGTCAAACCAGTGGTTAATAATGTTATACTACTATACTTTCAATGTTCTGTGATTATTTTAAAATTCATTGTATGTGGGTGAAACAGCCATTTTTCCATTTAATTACTACTTATAGCCCCTGACTATAGTCCCACTAACAGAGGGTCTTACTGCTTTTTACTTGTTACATTTCTTATTCAGTCAAGTATTAAGCCCTTCTACTGTAAATTTAAAGTAAGTTATCTTAAAAACTAAAAATACAGGGGCCTGCACTGTAGTGTAGCAGGTAAAGCCACCGCCTGCAGTGCCGGCATCCCATATGGGCACTGGTTCAAGCCCTGGCCACTTCACTTCCAATCCAGCTCCCTGCTATGGCCTGGGAATTCAGTGAAGATGGCCCAAGTCCTTGGGCACCTGCACCCACATAGGAGACCCGGAAAAAGGTCCTGGCTCCTGGCTTCAGATCAGTGCAGCTCCAACCACTCTGGTTATCTGAGGACTGAACCAGCAGATGGAAGTCCTCTCTCTCTCTCTCTCTCTCTCTCTCTCTCTGCCTCTGCCTCTCTGTAACTCTGCCTTTCAAATAAACACATAAATCTTGAAAATACTCCAACTAGAAAGGGATAGGGAAGGAGGGCGAGAGAGGAAGAGACCATCATTATGTTCTTAGAATTCTATCTCCAAACACACTGAACCCGTTAAAAACTAATTAAAAATTAAAATTATAAAAAATGTTAAATGCATTTAGTTGACACATACTGTTGTACCATTTTAATTAACAATGGCCCTATTAATTAAATAACAGTCCACTATGCAGCTGCCCTCATGGGAACACACGCCAACACTTCACTGAGCCCTATCCACCTCAAGATTTAGGGCTGTTCCTCTTGTTTTAAAACAAAGAAATGGGCCGGCGCCGCGGCTCACTAGGCTAATCCTCCGCCTAGCGGCGCCGGCACACTGGCTTCTAGTCCTGGTGGGGGTACCGGATTCTGTCCGGGTTGCCCCTCTTCCAGGCCAGCTCTCTGCTGTGGCCAGGGAGTGCAGTGGAGGATGGCCCAGGTGCTTGGGCCCTGCACCCCATGGGAGACCAGGAGAAGCACCTGGCTCCTGCCATCGGATCAGCGTGGTGCGCCGGCCACAGTGCGCCAGCCATTGGAGGTGAACCAATGGCAAAGGAAGATCTTTCTCTCTCTCTCACTGTCCACTCTGCCTTTAAAAAAAAAAAAAAAAAAGGCCAGCGCCGCGACTCAATAGGCTAATCCTCCACCTAGTGGCGCCGGCACACTGGATTCTCGTCCCGATCGGGGCACCGGATTCTGTCCCGGTTGCCCCTCTTCCAGGCCAGCTCTCTGCTGTGGTCAGGGAGTGCAGTGAAGGATGGCCCACGTCCTTGGGCCCTGCACCCCATGGGAGACCAGGAGAAGCACCTGGCTCCTGCCATCGGATCAGCGTGGTGCGCCAGCCGCAGTGCACCGGCCATGGCGGCCATTGGAGGGTGAACCAACGGCAAAGGAAGACCTTTCTCTCTCTCTCACTGTCCACTCTGCCTGTCAAAAAAAAAAAAAAAAGGAAACTCTAACAGGTTCATTAACTTGCCCCAAATCAGATCATCACCAAGTTGAAGATTCAAAATTAAAAGCAAGCTCCCAATACCTGTGATGGTTAGCTTGGCAGATTAAACCACTCATATTCCAGATAATCTGACAAGTTAAATTGTGATCTAACCATCTCAGAACTGAATTTTACACATGGAAAGCTGTAACTGAATAGTTGTGACTTACACTGTTACTGGTACCAACACTGCACACTGTTACCATGACTGAACACTGGGCCAGCTAACAATTACCCCATTTGAAAGCCAAGTGCCTCGCAGCAGGAACACACAGTAGGGTAGGCCTTTAAGCACATCACGTGTGTCCTCCAAACCTTCTTTTTCTCCTCTAAGGAAATGTTGGGGCCAGTGCAGAGGTGCAGTGGGTTAAGCTTCTGCCTGCAGTGCCGGCATCCCACCCAGACAACCCCAAGTCCTTGGGCCCCTGCACCAGCATGGGAGACCAGGAAGAAGCTCCTGGCTCCTGGCTTCAGATCAGTCCAGTTCCAGCCACTGCAGCCGCCTGGGGAGTGAACCAGATGGAAGACCTCTTTTTATCTCTCTTTCTCTCTCTTTCACTCTGCCAATCAAATACATTTTTTTTTTTTAAAGAAAGAAAATAGAGTTGCTATCAACACCAATAAAAACTCCGGATCACGAGAAAAATCCATGCAGAAACATCTACGAAGTCCACAGGATACAGACAGGTGAGTCAGCAGCCCACATTTAAATATCAAGCCCAGAAACAAAATCGGTACAATGAAATTCATCAGGGCCCTGGAGGAGGGCGGAGGGGAGAAGACAGCACCTGGGGAACCCACAGGCCTGGGGCCAGGGTGCACTCCTGACCCCAGCTCCCAGCCAGTGCAGACAGCCCTTGAGCTCAGACCTGGGTCCCCGCCTCCCCCAGCGCGGTCCCCTGACTGCACGCCCGGCTCCTGGCTTCAGCCTGGTGCCGCCGTGGCTGCAGTGGGCTTTGGGGGAGGGAACCCGCACCCCGGAGAGCAGATCCCTCCCCAGGCCCCGCAGCGCCGCCCCATCCGCCCGCAAGGAAACCACGAAGGTGCGGGCGAGCCGCCGGGCCCCGCAGAGCCTACGGAGGCGGCCCCGCGCGGAGCCCACACCCCGGGCTGCTCAGGTCCCCACGGCGCCGGCCAGCGCGCGGGCGCGCACAGACCGCTGCGTGCGTGACGGAAACGCGTCCGCCCGAGGCCTCTTCCCCAGAGCGCTGCCCGCAAGGTCGGGCTGGCTCAGCCACCGCGCGGGGGCCGCGGGGCTGGACGCGCAGCAGCTGCAGACAGCCATGCGCAGGCCCCGCAGCATCCCGCACGAAGCCCCGGGTGTAGACACAGGTGAGGCGGTCTTCCCGGCGTGCGCGGCCGCCGCCGCCCAGCCCGGTCCACGGGGAAAAGCCCGACCGGCCGCCAGTGCCCGCGCCCCGGGGGCTCACAGGCCGCGTCGCCCCCTGCCGCGGCCGGACCGGGCTGTGCAGGCTGCGGGCGGCTGCGGACCCGCGCTCCGGCCCACGCACACGCCGGCGCCCCGCGGCCGCGGTCCCCCGGGGCGCCGCCGCCCGCCCCCGCAGCCCGGCCTGGCCTCCGTCCCGCACCACCCGAGCTGCGAAACCGCAGGTTTGGGGGTGCCGCGGACCACGCAGCCTCTGTTCCACCTGCCGCGAGGGACACGCCGGGCCCCTACCTGCTCCACCGCAGCCCGGCGCGACCCTACAGCTTTCCCCCGTCGGCGGCGACGGTGAGCACCTGGGCGCGCATCCCCGCACCGGCGCCCCTCCTGGCGCGGCCGAGCCCACCCGGGCCACTTGACAGCTCGAGCCCCGCCTCCCTGCACGCCTATTGGTCCCGCTGGCAGCGCGGGGCGGGGCCGGGAGCGAAACGCTCGTTTCTGATTGGACGGCGGTGGTATCACTCTCAGCTCCGGGGCCGTGTTTGCTGCGGACCAGGGTGGCGGCTTACACCCAGCGGCGCAGGAAGGGTCGGTGCGGTGCTTGGAAGCCAAAAACCGCAACCTTCGGCGTTCCAAGGGAAGGGGGCCAGGCCTCCGGGCCCGGCCCCCCAGAGGGACCGCGGGAGCCGGGGGTTCCTCGAAACCTCCGGGCGGAGGGACCCCGGGGGGGATGGCGGGGCCCACGTGTCGCGGCGCGGCCAGAGGACCGAAATTTCTCGAATAAGCCCACGCGCGTCTGCGGGACGCAGGGCGACGGGGCCTCGGCCAGGTGGGACCGCCCGTGCGCGGGTGCGTGCGCCTCCCTCCTGCCCGCAGGCGGGGCCTCCCGCCGCAGTCCGCCGCGCGGGGCGCGCGAGCACGCGTGAGGGCTGCACAGGTGTGGCCGGCTTGGGGCAGCTGTCGCTCCTCTGAGAGCACAGGGAGAGCTCAAAGACGCCGAGGAGATGCAGGGTATGGGGAAAAAAAAAAAAAACCTAGCAGGTGCACGACACATTTCTCGTTCCATGCACATGGGGAGGGGGCCTGGAGGTGATGCAGAGTGGATCTGTGCGGCGAGAACCCACGGAACACTCACTGAGTCACGTTCCCGCCAAATGCTTACACCTGTGCGGTTACGGCCCCGACACCAGCGTGGGATTGAGGGGCCTAGTTGCGAGTTAAGACAGCAATAGGGAAAGTGGCTTTTCAGCACCATCTTTCAGTCCTAAACATGCATTATTTTGAGTCACATGGAGCTCTGGCACCCCAACCTTAAGCTTTAAGCAGAGAAGGTAGCATATCAAAAAACTGAGCATCGAGACCACAGGAAATGAAATTGGAAAAGGATACCAAAGAAGTCTGCTGTGTCCATGCATTCTTTTATTTAAGATGCATTTTTTCTTTTTTTAAAGATTTATTTATTTATTTGAAAGTCAGAGTTACACAGAGAGAAGAGAGGCAGAGAGAGAGAAGTCTTCCATCTGATGGTTCACTCCCCAATTGGCCACAACAGCCAGGGCTGGGGGAGGCTGGGGCCAGGAGCCAGGAGCTGATCCAAGGGCCCAAGGACTTGGGCCATCTTCTGCTGCTTTCCCAGGCACATGAGCAGGGAGCTGGAGCGAAAGTGGAGCTGCCAGGACCCCGAAGGACCCTAATATGGGACGCTGGCTGGCAGGCTGCGGCTTCACCTGACACGCCACAGTGCCAGCCCCTTTTCAGCCCCCTTTCATTCTTACTCATTCCTAAAGCAAATGTCACTGTGATACGTATAGTGATAAATGAGATGTGCAAGCTCTCCTGCAGCACAAACTTTGTTTTTCAAGCAGACTATATTACTTTGTGTATTTATTGATCTAATTAGCCGCTCTGTGTGCACACACACAACTTGGGAGTAGTAATAGGAGAATTTCTCTCTTGATCAGGCACTTCACATATTTTTAGGTAAAACAGACTGTTTCTGGGTCTTTTGTTATTTGTTATTATCTCGGATGCCAGGTTGTGCATCTGTTCCTGGAATACCTACATTCATATTTATATAAATAAATCAAAATACCTGCAACAGAGCACCTTCGTTTTCCAAATCTTTCTGATACAAGCCCCCATGTTCTTACGTAAGCAGAAAAATCACCATTCTGGCCACTTCACACTTGTGGAAATCAAAGTAGACAAGGAAATGTGTCCCTTCCAAAACAAAGGTAGGCAACAATAACAGTATGTGTAACGCTTGAAACATAGAAGACCTCCCATATGTGCCTGATGAGCAAGTGGTTTCTAAAATGTGAAAGTGTAAAGAATCCTAGAAACCATCATTCTACCCGTTATTCTGCTATGGAAGGACTTGTACATAATTTATCTAAAGTCATATATTTTGTTAGAGGAAAATTTGGCTAGACTAGAACTCAGATCTTAAGACGACTCATTCATTATTTTTTCCAACCACATGAATACCTTTCTGGCAAATCTTCTGGTGTAGATGTTGCCCTTGAACCAACCAGATGTTTCCATTCTGACCCAATACATGAACTCACCTGCCGGCATCTATGAAAATACACAGAAGTGCTCCACTTCACCGCGCAAGGAAGCAGAGCCCCAGCAGCCCCTAGACTCCAGTGGCGTGGTTAAGTCTGTGGTCTCTACCGTGACTGAGAGCAGAGAACCTGCGACTGCTCTTAGATGGACCGAAGCTGAGGCTGAGGCGAGCTTGCCTCTGGTGCTCCTGCTCCCTGAAGCAAGGGACAAGGGAACTGCAGAAGCCAGAGCCTGGCCCCACCCTGCCTGGCAGCCTGCAGTGTGCAAGAGAAACACCAGGGCTATTCTGCCCGAGTCCCTGCAGGCACTGGCTCCCTCGTCTCCCATGATCCCATTGCGCAATTTGTCCGGCAGTACGTTGCCAAAACTCCCGCAGCCCCGTTATTGAATTCTCCTGCCATCCCCTCCTTCTTCCACCCTGCACTGGCCCTGGCTCTGCAAACCTCCCGATCCCCTCCAAGCAGTGATTGAATCTCAGCGAGCGGAGAGGAAGCCACAGCAACAGCACAGCCTCCCACAGCACGCATTCCCTTTCATTCTGCTCTGCTCCGCCCCCCACTTCCTCACTTCCACGCTTCCCAGGAGAGCAGTTCTGAGCACAGCCTGATGGGGTGGCAAAGCAGAGAGAGAAGAGGAAAGAGGGCCTTTTCCGATCGAGATTTCAAGCTGCACTCAACACACAGAGAGGCGTGAGAAGTCTGCCTGCTGCTCCGGAGACAGCCACACTAATCCCCGCCTGCAGTGTCGGGAACATCACATCAGCCACTGACCCAGCTTTAGCAGAGCCCACTGGGAATCAGGCAGAGAGAAGTGCAGCACGTGCACACACACGCATGCACACACACGCGTGCACACACACGACCAGCACCACGTGGTGGCGAGGTGAGGCTGGGAAAACAGCTTCCAAGTGCTAAATACTAGACACACTGTCGACAGCAGTGACGTGCTACTCACCCGATGCCACTGCAGTCTCCCCCGGCATTTTGGATTCTTTTCTGTTTTGCGCAGTGACTGTTGTGCACCAAAGGGCAGATTCACAGGCCAAGCCACACGCTAACAGTGCGGATTTCTTCACCGAGATCCAATCGTCTTCCAGCAAAGCCCGCCAGTTTTTCTTCAATGTTGCCACATCTGTGCAGCAGGAACCGCCATCTACTGCAAGACAGGGATCTGACCTTGCAGCAGTATGGCCTGCAAGTTCCTCCAACTCCTAGAACCCATGGGAAGTGGCCATCAAGCCATTTTGGCAGCTACATTGCAGCCTTAGTGTCTGTGACTGAAGAAGAGCCGGCAAGCAGATAAGACCAGTGAACCCCACTCTCAACCTTAATAAATACGTCCTTTCCTTTTATTGCCACCTCTCCCTAGAGGCACTGAGCATCCTGTTTTCTGAATGGCTCTCTGAAAGAATGGGCACCATCACCGTCTGGGGTGGACAGGGGAGTGGTCCTTAGAAGACCTGTCGTTTCAGTCCATTTTACGCTGCCATCGCAGGGTACCTGAGTAGGCGTCCTTAATAAAGACAGAGCTGTATTTCCTGACCATTTTGAAACCCAAGATCAAGGAACTGACATCGGGTAAGGGACTGCCTCATCCCAGGGCAGAAAGCAGAAGGACCAAGACGGCTTGCATGATGGGGGAGAGAGGAAGACATAGAGGACCTCACTCCCAACACAACCGCGTCTGCATTCTGGAGGACAGAGCCCTCACGGCGTACTCACAACTTGAGGCTCTTCGACCCGGCTGCACTGAGCCACAGAGGACACATTCAACCCATTGCACCCTTGCTCCACTCTGGACCAATAATTAGCTGAGACGGTAAGCTAAGGACTGCAAAAAGTTCCCCATGCCTTAAAACAAGGGGCTGAGCCACACAATATGCATATTCAAATCTATTTATTTAAGAGTAAGGGATCAGGGGCCAGATGCCTGTGGTGCAGACATCCCATGTGGGCACCAGTTCAGCTCCTGGCTGTTCCACTTCCAATCCAGCTCCCTGCTGATGCGCCTGGAAAAGCAGTGGAGAACATTTCAAGTCCTTCTGCACCTGCACGCACTGGGAGAGCCAGAAGAAGCTTCTGGTTCCTGGCTTTGGATGGGACCAGCTCTAGCCATTGCTGCCATTTGGGGAGTGAAGCAGTGGATGGAAGATATTCTCTCTTTCTCTCTCTTTATCTCTCTGCCTCTGCCTCTCTGTAACTCTGCCTTATAAAATGTCATCTATCCAAATATACATCCTGTCCCCCAAAATGAGTGACAGGCAAGCAGAGTAGAACAAAGAATTAGCTGTTTCATCCAGATTTTCAGTCATTAGCCAAAAGATGATCACAACATCTCATTATTTTTAATATTTACTAGGTTTATAATGGACTGACCAATTTTCATTCCTGATGATTGGTTAGTTGTAGGTTTTTTGCCTTCACAGTTTTCTTGTGTTCAGAAATTTTAAAAATCATTCCAAATATCATTTTTACCTCTTATTTTTCTCTACTATATCTTTGTTTTTTTTTTAATTTATTGATTTCTGCTCTTATCTCTATTACACAATTCCCCTGACTTAATTTTGATGTGGTGCCTTTTTCTCTCTTCCTGTGTTGGAAATGTATGTCACTGATTTCTCAGCCTTAAGCAAATAGTTTCTCAAACGTGTGCTCCAGCCTACCTGACAAGTTTTAGCATCTTATTTTCATTATCATTCATTTCACATAGCTTCTAACCTGTTTTCTCTCTTGACTCAAAGATAACTAAGAACAGTGTTTTGCCAATAATCACTTGTGGTTTCTCATGTACCACTGGCCATTTTAGTCACTTATCAGGAGAAGAGATACTGTAAAGGGATTCAGAAGTTGTGCTTTGTGCGGGCTCTGTTTACAATGCCAAGGTCAC